AAGCAAAACATTGTCTGGTCAAAGTGTCTGAATAAATTTTGGTCCCAAATTTTTATCAATTTTATTGGTAGTCCACTGTATGAAGAATTTTTGGGTATAATATGTCACAGTTTACTTTATTTTGCTATCCTCACTTACATAAATGAACTATAGTGTCCTGCACCTACTAGTACAAAAATATAAAAAATTGTATCTGGTGTCTGAATAATTTTTGGTTTGACATATAACTCTAACTTATTATATTATATTATATTATATTATATTATATTATATTATATTATATTATATTATATTATATTATATTATACAAATGTTGCCTCGCCAGGCCAAAAAACTATTGTCTGCACCAATGGAGAAGTGTTATAGTAACCTGCTGCATGATGGAGGGAGGGGCCTCCTCAGTCTCATCCTGTCACTCATTGGCCTGAAAGTATGTGAAATGTTTTGATGTAATAATAAATGAGAAATTCTGTCTGGTCTACAAGTGCAAACACTAAACCGTTTCCTTTGATTATAGATAACTACAACTGTAGAACAAGTGAGGGATTTCATGAAAGGCACACTGCTTAGTGTGCAAGAGGCTCTGGTCAGTCCAGATAGGAGTTTGTGGGATCTTACAGTGGAGTCCATAGAGACATTGAAGCAGAAGAGCCTCATTGAAGCCTCTGCTGATGTACATAATGAAACCATTCTCCAAATCACCAGGCTTGGGAGAGCAACATTCAAAGGTAAACACAGAGCGTGGCATACGGATTTAAATAATGTAATGTTTAGTTATTCTGTACATGTATTCATTTACCACAGGGTGGCAATATGACCTTGTTTAGAGATCAGCCAATTAATCACTACTGCCTATTTTTCTTATTTATTACAGTTTTTTTCAGAGCCTCCCTTATGTAATGCTTTCCATTTAAATTATTACTTGATATTTCAGGTTCAGTTGACCTTAACTACTGCGATCTGCTGTACCGAGACTTATCGAAGGGGCTGGAGGGTTTACTCCTCAATAGTTTTCTTCACTTAGTGTATCTGGTTACTCCATATGACATGGTGCGTCAGTGCAAGCCAGATTGGATGATCTACTTCAGACAGGTAAGATGCTTTCATCTGGTTAAATCTGTTTTAGTTATACACCGTTCAAAAGTTTGGGGTCGGTATGGTTTTTAATGTTTTTGAAGGAAGTCTCTTATGCTCACCAAGGCTCCATTTATTTGATCAAAAACAACAGTAGAATTTTAACTGCTTTCCATTTTTATATATTGTAAAATGTAATTTACTCCTGTGAGTGAATGGCAAAGCTGAATTTTCAGTATCACATGATCCTTCAGAAATTATTCTAATATGCTGATTTGGTGATCAATAAACATTTCTTACTATTTTCAATGTTGAAAACACTTGTGCTGCTGCTTAATTTTTTTTCTGAAAAATACAAGGTGCAACAATGTTTGTATTTTTAATATTGTCTGTTGACTATTAATGTGCTTTTCCTTAGTGATGTGTATTCATTCTGAATCTGAATTTTTCATTGTACCAGTTTACAAATTTGTCGGCTGCTGAGCAGAAGATGGCCACTGCAGTTGGAGTGCCTGAAAGTTTTGTGGCTAGAAAGGCAGCGGGACAGAGCGTGAGGAAGGTTAGTAAAAACAGCATTCCTCTCATGCTTTAGAATACCATACGAGTGATTCATGATCTTTTTTTGTTTGGGATTAAACAGCCTAGGTATAATAAGCCAAAGAGTACAGTAGAAAGATCTCATTAGCTGAGAATTGATAGTATAGTATTACTTAAATCCTAATTCTCTTAAAAGATTTGCAGTGTTAACCATTTAACCCTACTTAGGTTTCTGAGGGGAAAAAAGTTTTTTGTGACCTAAGTTATATTTGATTTCACAATGATGGATTTTGTTCCTGTTTTCTTCTACCTGTGTCTCAGTCTGTGGACATTGTGGTAGTGAATAGGCTGTATCTGGCCCTAGTGCTGTACTCCCTACTGAAGGAGACAAACCTGTGGAACGTGTCTGATAGGTACCAGCTGACTAGAGGCTTTGTTCAGACTCTCCTCAGCTCAGCTTCTGCCTTTGGGTCCTCCGTGCTGCACTTCACTGAGGTTTGGGGCACATCTAAGCAGCATTTAAGGGCGTTTTCAGACCTGTAAATTGTTTGCTTTGTTTTGAAACAGAGACTTAAATTGCTACAAGTTTCTTCTTGGTTCGGTTCGCTTTCACAAGGCAATATTTTAAAGCATACCAAAATGTGTTTATGCAATGCAAGTCACATGTGAGTGGAACTAACCTCTTATTGGTCAACGCACACAACTAACGAACCGCTCCAGAGTTCATTTTCAAGCGGCCCAAAACCACCTCGTTCTGGCGATCTCGGACCGATTTCTTTTGGTGAATATCTGAACATGATTTCTGTGTTCATATACGCCAGGTGTGAAAATGCCCTAAGACATATCATCCTACATATCTACATCTGGTTCTATCCTGCAGTCAATAATTGATTAGAATACTATGAGATTTGTCTGTCCATTTCAGGAGCTGGAGGAGTTTTGGGCCTATAAGTCTCTTCTCTTAGAGCTGACCCGTAGATTGACTTACTGTGTGCAGGCTGAGCTCATTCCACTCATGGAGGTGGCTGGAGTCATGGAGGTGTGTGTTCTTGCTGCTCAGTTTCTCTAGAATAGTTATGACCAGAATATTTGCTTAAAAGTTTGTGTTTTTATTTTATTCTTCATTCTCTTTTGATTCAGCATCGTGCCAAGCAGCTGTATAACGCTGGTTACAAGACACTGGCGCATCTTGCCAACGCAGATCCACAAATTCTGGTCCAAACTATTGAAAACCTCTTCAAGAGACAAGCCAATCAAATTATTGCATCAGCAAAAGTAAGTACAATATTGCACTATATAGCAACATTGTATTTAGGGGCCAAGCACTGAAAGTGCATAGGCACCTATTGAAATCGTTGGCGTTCTTATTAGTCTTCTTTTTCCGTATGGAAGTCTATGGCAGCCCATAGAACCCCTTGCGGGAAAGTTATGAAATTTGGCACACTGATAGAAGACGGTCTGAACAGTCACCATAGCAAATTTGGAGTCTCTAACTCAATACCTCTAGCGCCACCAACTGTCCAAAGTTTCACTCATGTTTACGCTAGTAACTTTTGAACCATAAGGGCTAGAAACAAAATTTGATTCAATTGCATCATGTAATTTTCCGTCATGTAAATCTTTCCGCCATTTTAAATTTTTTTTTAAACTACTTTTTTTCGAACTCGTCCTAGATGGTTGCTCCGATTTTCACGAAAATTGAACCAGATCATCTTCAGATCATGTCGACAAAAAGTTATGCAATTCAAGTTTATTCGTCAAACTGTTCTTGAATACCGTGCAAACTAATTTTACGTAGTGCTTGCAAAAACAGACGTAAGGCTGTATCTCTGCAACGCTTTATTGTATTTATACCAAACTTGGTACATGTCATCACAAGCATTACTTGAGGCTACATGCTGCTTTTCGGCGCAGCGCCACCTACTGGTCCGGAGATAAGAAAAATGGCTATTTTTGGTAGGGCTGACTTCTAATAGTCGAGGATTCGACGATTCGATTCGGAGAGGTCTGATTTGACTGTGAACCTCATAGTCGAATAGTAGGGAAGTGTTATGTAACCAATAGGGGTGTGACGGTTATTATATAACCGTGAGACCAACAGTTATAGTTGAAAACCGTCATTAGAACTCTATAACCGCTAAAACCGTGCTATTAAAATATTTTTTACAAACATTTTTTATCATAGAGAATGTTTAAATACTAATATCATCTTACGAGGGAAACGGAGGCGGAGTTAGTGGTGCTTCGGAGGCTGAGTGCTGGAGATGATTCGGGAGAGGTCTGTGCACTTTTACCGATCAGAGCGCGCGCTGACACGGAGTAAAGCCTTGTTTATACTCGACGCGTCCGCACGAGCGCAAAGGTGAATTACTTTATTTCTTTTGTGGAACTCACAGAAAAAAGAAAAATATGCAAAATACTCAAAAAGGAATCATCAAAGTATTTCCTCACACGATCGCAATCATATGGCTCAAGAAGACTACTTTCATGATGACTTTTGAATCCTTTTTGAGGCTTAACATACTCAGTCCTTATTCACATTTATTGCATGCAAAATACTGACCAGGGCTGCGTTTCTTAAAAGCTTTGTAAGCCTATAAGTAAATCGTAGAATCATTGACACCAATTGTCTCTACGCTCAGCTTAGCTCACACAATGCTTTTGAGAAACGCATCCCAGTCCATTCAGGAAATTTCTCCTCCTACATCAGAAAGAATTTATACAGGTCTGAAACAACATCCAGGGTGTGTAAATTTCATTTTTGGGTGGTGTATAAAAGAAAACACCCTTGTGTATTCATGTTAACTTTCTCGATGTTCATTTTCAGATGTTAATAAAAGAGAAAGCAGAGGCCTTGCAGGAGGAGGTGGATGACCTGCTTATGCTGCCATCTGATCTCCCATCTTTGTAAATTCTTATGTTTATTTTTTTATTTATATGCTGTAAATAGTCTGTATATAATTTAATCTATATGGCATTATGTAAACGATTTTGTGCCTATATGTCTGGCTGCAATAAAAATGGAAGTAACCCTGATTTTTGTAACATCTCTATTACTGATTACCATGATCATGTGTTATTTTATATCCAACGATTTTACAACCACCAGTCAGTCACAAACAGCGTGTTACAATTCCAGCACTGCCTCATGTTGAGAGTTTCAGCCAATCAGGTAAGGTATGCAAATAAATAAATGTGCTAAAGCCACGCCCATGAGTCATTGGCGTGAGATATTTCAAACAATGAATGTTTGTCATAAACTGGTTCCTATTTACAGTCAAACAAGAAAGAAGGAAGTCGGTCTTTGACGGTGCCAAAAATATATGTATTTCGCCTATGTATTTTGGATGAGAGTGTGAAACAGATGCAATCAACAAGTAGCCTACTGAATGAGGACACCAGCTGATTGAACAGATGAAGTCTGCATTCACAGCAGTTTCCACGATATTCGCTCTTATTTTGTTTCGCGCATTGTGTGCCGACGTCAAAATAGTGATATCAGTCGAAGATGTTCAGTCCATACGTGTTGATCTGGATCTGTCCAATGTGGTCCGAAGGGTGGACGAAAGGTTTCTCTCTGTGGCTATAGATGCGAGTTTAATAGCCGAGGAGAAGTTCATGAACCTACTGAAGTAAGTCCTTCAAAAGTTATCTTAAAGCAGACCTCAAATAAATAAAGTTGCGATGTAACTTTAAAATAAGTGATATGATGTTTATGTAGTTCACCGAAGTTAAGAACCCTTGCCAAAGCCTTGATCCCAGCGTTTCTGCGATTTGGAGGTACCAAACAAGATTTTATGAAATTCAACCCACGCGGAAGATATTTTCAAGCAAGAGAAAACAGCAGCAGCGCTGTTCTAGGTAACGTTAACCTCTTTCACTGAGCATCAATACATGTTAGTGAACCACATCCTCCAGCCAGAAAGCTGACTGCGGTGTGTAAGTCATCTGACTTTAACAGCATTGATTCCAGTTTTGCTTTAATGAGGGAACGGTAAACTGATTCCCTCTAAATATACTGTTTCTTATGTACTACAATGCCTCTAGCCTGTTGTATCTAAATTTTGTCGTTGCCCTCAAATTTATTTGGACACTTAAACCTTAGCTTTGGGCTTTTAACCAGCTGGGTCCAAGTTGATTTTAGTGTAAGTCGGTTCATTCACACTGGCTTATTAAAGTAAAATGATTAAACACGTAACTTGGATGTTCCTCATCCGACATTGACAACCAGAAAGTGTCCAAATTCTTTTATCAAGTTAATTTAATGATAAAGCGATAATATACAACTTTTTATGGCCACTGTAAACAATAACACTTAATGAATATTTACTCATTTTGTGTTTTTTATATTATTATATGATTTATTTATTACGCACATCTGATGTCATTCCTACAGGAAATGTATGCAAGATACTTGAATTGCCTCCATTGCTGGAAAATAGGTTAAAGCAAGAATGGGTCCTACAGTCAAAGACTTTACTTCAGGAGGAACTAGAGGGAAAATACAAAAATACGAAATTCTCTGGTAAGTTTATTCCACTTCTGTTAACGGGAAATTTATCATGAGTCAGTACAGCGAGACATTGTACACTAGCACCACATAAATGTCAGGCCTTCCTTCTGGCCCATATTTTTATGTGCCAAAAACATAAAGGCCTGGTTTCACAGACAGGGCTTAGATTAAGCCAGGATTATGCCTTAGTTCAATTAGGGCATTTAAGTGGCTTTTAGAAGCATGCCTTAGAAAAAAAAAAACATTATTTGGTGCAAGTTGCTTTCAGTTAGAACAGCTCAAACATGCTTTTTAGTGTGGGATAGGCTTAAATCTTGTTTGTGAAATAGGGGGATAGTTATATTTTTAATAAAAAACGATATATATCATGTTTCCATGATCAGTTGTAAAGTTGCTTTAGTAACAAATTTAATTCAACAACCTGATCAATACATCACAAAAACATTTGTGAGTCCGTCAACTGATCCGAAACCCTCTCAGACTGGCCCTAGGCCATCGTTATTGTTGAGCCATGTATTCATATTTTCAATATCACAATCAAAACTGTCAAAGAGAAAGTCAAGTGTCTGTCTTTCTTCCAGAATATGCTGTCGACCTGCTGTATGCCTTTGCAAACTGCTCTGGTTTAGACCTCATCTTTGGTTTGAATGCTTTGCTTCGAACCAGTGAAAACACATGGGACAGCGCGAATGCAGAACTGCTGTTGAAGTACTGTGAGTCGAGAGAGTATGTGATGTCTTGGGAGCTGGGGAATGGTAGGATTTGGGATATTTCTTTTTGATTAGGCTAGACATTCTTATTTTGAATGAGCTAATAATTTAAAATTATTATTTTTTTATTATTTAAGTTGAATTCTCAGCATTAAATCTCTTGCTTTAGAGCCCAACAGTTACGAGAAAAAAGCTGGGATCAGAGTGGATGGGTACCAGCTCGGTCAGGATTTTGTCCATTTGCATCAAATCCTTCAGGAATCCGCGATCTACAACTCAACAGGTCTATATGGACCAGATATTGGTCAGCCACGAGATCACCGCAAAGATTTGTTAACTGGGTTTGTGTTCAGAGAAAAGAGTTATTTTTTAAAATATATTTTCAGAGTAGCTTCTTGTCTTAATTGATTTGGGTATCAAATAAAGGTGACATGGTTGAACATTCACTTTCATAGGTTTTTGGAGTCTGGAGCAGAGGCCATTACTGCATGCACCTGGCACCAGTAAGTTATGATTTATTTCCTTTCACAAAAATCTTAAATAATTGAGTCTTTGTACTGAACTTGTTTTCTATTTTCCTTCTTAACAGCTATTATGTGAATGGCAGAGACGCATCTTTAGAGGATTTCCTTGACCCTCATGTGCTTGATACTCTGGCAACAAAAATTAACGAGGTCCTCGAGGTACCAGAGTAATTCTGCATGACACATTAAAATAAGAACTCTCTAGTGGTATCCAAATTTCTCACATTCAACAGTAAGAAATATCAGAGAGATAAATGAACTGAAATGAACTAATAAACACTCTGCCTTCAGACCACTGAATCTGTTTCTCCGGGGAAGAAGGTTTGGCTGGGAGAGACAAGCTCGGCATATGGTGGAGGTGCCTTTGGTCTATCAGACACATTTGTAGCTGGTTTTATGTAAGTCATTTTTTTCCACTTCAGACCAGTTTAAAGTTCATCTGTAAATTAAAGCTTCCAGTATGTTTTAATGTGGATTTAAAGGTGCAGTAAGCAATTTCTGAGAAACGCTGTTGAAAGTGGATCAGAGCTAGCGCCACAACAACACACTTGTAGCAAATCACCAATAAGGGGCGTGTCCACTCGTGATGAGAGAGTGAGTGAGAGAGCGAGATTTGAAGAAAGACTGTAGAAAGAGAAATGGCTGAGAAACATAAAATTTTTTTAAAAAAGCACAGAGGAATATCACTGGAAACAGGAGGGTTATGATCAGGCAAAGAGCTTTAGGACCCTTGTCAATATTAGAAAAGCTTTTCAGCGCTGAAGAGACATAAGCAGGAGGGCCTGAAAACAGACCCGGAGGTTGCTTTGTTTCTTCTCCATACATGTATAACATTAGTTTTGCTATGTTTCACAGAACTAAGATATGCTGTTGTTGTAATGTTAGCTTTAGTAACAAGACATGTTGGGTCATTGTTTGTCTGGAGTAGACATGTGCCGGTATTCGGTAATGCGATTAATCGCGATAATGAATATGCACGATATTGTGATATTGATATTACTGTGAAAAATAATAGATTCGAATTTAGACTTTTAGAACGCGCATTAGCTTATTTTCCATCAACCGCTTAAAGCTGCAGTAGGGAGTTTTGAGAAAACGTTGACTTAGCCTGAAAATTTGAACAAGCACAACTTACAGGTCCCACCCCCTTGCTCTCTGCTGCGCTACAGCCCTCCCTCCACAGCTCGTCCTCCACAGCGGAGCCTGTCGTGAACGCGCAGGCTAGTAAACAGGCCCACCGATGACGGTGGATAAAAAGTTATATGGCACATTCACTAATAGGGAGTAAACGTCAACAATATGCTTTACATTGACTATGGCCTGCCCATACTTTGACTACAAACTTGGTCCTCAAATCATTATGTATTTTGCAATAGCCTACATGTAACTTTATAACGTTGCACTTTTTCTATAAGTTATAAATAGCTAGTAAGATAACGTCAATATAACGGTAACTAACGTTACAGTATGCAAGTAATTATTCTAGCGATATATAATGCTAGATATATAATGCTAGAGGTGTGCTAGTACATTATTTCAGCAACATGACAAGCCAGTGAATTAGCAGGTTTCAATTGTTGCTTAGCAGAGTGCGTGACATTTTATCTTCATGTTATGCGGCTAGAGTTTTGACACCGAGTCAATGGGCTCTGTGTAATTCTTTCTTTTTCGCTTGTTTATCGTCATCAGTCTTTTTCCTTTTACCTCTTTGTTTTATGAGCAGGTGTCACTCGAGAATTGGCCGTTTAGGTTGTTTCTCCGTCATAAGCACAGCTGCAGCACGCCGGCAATCTTGAGTTTGAATGACGGCTCGCGCTCCGGCGCTCGCGCTGTGCAAGAGAGGGGTGTGATCAGCGCGTACACGAGCGTGACTGACACTGCTAAGACACTCCTCCTGGCTCTGATTGGTTGTTTCTGACCGGGAGCGTGTATTTCTTGCAAATGGCAATAGGACCACCAGGAGGAGCCAGAGGAGCTTGATTTTTACACAGATTATCTGTCTCATATTCTACTGTCAGGATATAATGACAGTTTTAGCAAATACATTTTTTCAAAAGTTACCTACAGCAGCTTTAAACTGCGTATATGCTGCGCAAAACATGTGCGCACTCTAAACAATCCACACATGTATAAGCACTGTGTGCATGCGGCGAAGTGTACACTCTAGTCTAATGTAAACAATCCTCACATGGAGTAGAAGCATGGCGGAAGGAGGAACGCTGCAGACGATTTAACCCCCCGCAGGGCTGCCAACTCTCACGCATTCAGCTTGAGACTCAAGCGCCTTTCAGACAGGACGCGGAATACGCGCGGGGACGTTTTGTTGCTGCGTCGACCAAAGCACGCCGGGGTCAAAGGTTCAAAATAGTTCAACTTTTTATTTGCAAAATAGCAAATCGCGTTGTATCTGAAGGGCAACGTTGAACCCAGCGGCCAGCGCCACGCATTACGCGTCCTGTCTGAAAGGCGCTTTACGCAATTGACACTTTGCACACGCTCTCACGCAGAGAAAAATCGCGGAGCAAAGAGGACACTGACACCGAAAGACTAGACAGAGCAGGCTACTTTTGATATAAAAAAAAAAATCAGCTCTTAGATTCTGTCCATTGTGACAGATCGCTGCGCCTCAGTTCAAGTAAACCGATCATCTTCTACTTTTTATTTAAAGATACAGTACAACTTACCGAAAGGTATATGCCTCATACATAATATCGATCAATCAGTGTTTTTCAAACACGGAAAGAGGTCAATAAAACTGCAGGTCAAGAGAACAGTTATGTCACAGACTGTTACATTTACCTCAGGAAAGCCATTTAATGACCACCACATTAGTTGACTAGAAAAAATAGCGAGGAGTATTTTGCTAAATATGTGCAAATGGGCACTATATTACATTTATTATATGTTTACTTGTCATTACATAATTGTTATTATAATGAAAACCGTATATAATGAAAAATTAACATGCAGACTGTAGCCTACCTAATATTTATTCAAATGAGTCAATATTGAATTAAGATTGAAATCAAATCCAAGAATTTAATTGAATAATACAAACAGTAGCCTACCAGTCATTGTACCATGTAAACATTGTAACATGTTGTCACTAAACTTAATAAAATTCTGTTTAGTTACCATATGTTTTGAAAATCACAATTACACATTGTGATGCAAGTTGTTGTTTTTTTAGATACCCACAATCCATCTGTTTCTCTTGAGCAATTAAAATATTGTGATAATACCGTATACCGTGATAAAAGCTCAATCAATTAACCGCAGCATGAAAATTTGATACCGGCACATGCCTAGTCTGGAGCTGCTGTGCTACTGGTGACTAACAACGATCTCTTGCTTGTATACTCTTGTGTACTGTATGTTTATTTATTAGTAATATTAGTATTAATATAATATATATATATATAATATATTTCATAGTATTAAAACAGTAATACTATGAAATATTATTACAATTTAAAATAAACCTTTTCTTTTTAAATGCATTTTAAAACTATTTTTTTGTTTTTGCAGCCATTACTCCAGTCTCCAGTGTCACATGTTCCTTCAGAAATCATATGCTGATTTGGTGCTTATTATTGATCCCTTATTATTATCAATCTTGAAAACAGTCGTGCTGCTTAATATTTTTGTGGAAGCCATGCCACATTTAAGGATTTTTTGATGAATAGAAAGTACAAAAACAACAGCAATTATTTGAAATGTACATCTTTTGTACAATTAGAAATGTCTTTACGATCACCTTTGCTCCATGTAATGCATCCTAGCTGAATAAATGCATATTTTAAATAAAATATATTTAAATCTGTTTCGTTTAATAAAGGTGGCTGGACAAACTGGGACTTGCTGCTAAGCTTGGTTTGGATGTCGTTATCAGACAGGTATTAATTGGTTCCGGCACGTACCATTTAGTGGATGATAACCTAGATCCCCTTCCAGTAAGTGTTTCTTATGTGTTTGATCTTTCTTACATAATGTCCGTATCAGTCCAGGAACGTGGACTGTTTAATTATACCGTTTTTTATTTTAAACTATTTTATACATATGGCAGGATTATTGGCTATCATTGCTATACAAAAGGCTTGTTGGTCCAGAAGTCTTAAAAGCAGAAGTTAATACGAATTCTGGACAAAAGAAACCAATACGGGTATACCTTCACTGCACTAACAGAAAAAGGTACTTCTGATCTCCTGCTTACAATAAAATACTTTTTTTTTTTTTTAAAGAAACAATGGTTAATCCTTTTTGACATATCATATATCCTTTCCAGTACATATTACAGAGAAGGTGCTGTGACCTTATTTGCCTTAAACCTGAACAAAAATGAAGCCACAATTGCTCTGCCCGCCCATATGGCCAACAGCACCATTGAAGCATTTGTGCTACAGTCAGCTGAGGCCGGTGAACAGAGCCTTTATTCCAGGTAATGTCTTATGATCTCACAATGTTTGGACTGGACTATTTCTAATGTCACCTCAAGACTGGTTCAAATGAGCCAGAAATGTGATTAAAAATGGTTGAAAAACACTAAATAAATTGTGACCAGCTACGAGACCTAATGCATACACATTTCCCTTATTTATTCATATAAATGTAAACCTAACATTTATTGAACCTGCTTAGTTGGGGACTTTCAACACTTAATATTCAATTTTATTGATCTGACTGCATCGATGCTATTCTATGAGAACTGAACTGAGCTGGACATTGACCATTTTTTTGCAGAACTGCTTTATAGAGAAATGAACTAGTTTTATAATTGATGATCTTTACAATGGAACTGAATCAATGCTGAACAACAGCTGAAATGCATCATTTTCACTGTAAAGCTGCTTTGAAACAATCAGTATTGTATAAAGCGCTATATAAATAAAGGTGACTTGAGTTGAAAATTCTGAAAGCATTTGAACATGTTGTGCATCAACTATCATAGTAACAACCTAAAGATTGTTAAATCCCTCTTTTTGTCCATATCTAGGTCAGTCAAATTGAATGGGCAAGTGCTGAAGATGGTGGATGACCGAACACTTCCTCCACTGGAGGGTCGTGAGCTGCCGCCTGGAGCACACATTAAGCTGCCTGGCTTCTCATTTGCATTCTATGTTCTGACTGAAGCACGAGCTCCAGTATGCAAATGAGCTCCGATAAAGACTGCTTTCACTGGAGAATCAGGGATGTGCGACGACAAAATATTTTGCTTTGAGATTATTTATGTGAGGAAACTTCAATCTTGAATGAAATTAATCAGTCTCTCAATATGAAATCAGCCTTTTCTATTTATGAACATTTATATTTATTATAAATATCGAGCTGAAACCACTCTCGACTATTTTTAATGATCAACACAGACTGGATTTAATCTATTTTACATCTGTTAAAATAAACTGATTTTCAGCTAAGCGCTCATTTGTCAGAACATTTTGTTTGACATGTCTAAGTGATTGAGTGTCTGCTCTTCAACTATAGCAATCAAGCCTTTTGATTCTTAGTCATTTTCTGTCTGTGTGATTCACACTATGTGTGAAAAGCACGACATGCAGCTAACTTGAATGGTTGAGACATTTTGAGAATCCTCTCAAAGGCAGACTTTAGAGCACTTGTTACTCTGTGTGTGGTGATTATTGTAGCAGAGAGTCGGTTAGAGGATTGAAACATCTGGGCTTAAGTGAGAACACAGCTGGTATAAGTACAGATAAATATGCTACACTCTGGATGCTTGTGTAAATCTGTGAAAGAAATCAATTCATTTAAATGTCGAGGAGGGTTGTTACTGTATGACAAGTTTTGTCATTTAAACATTAAACAAATATTTAAAGAGCATTGTATCACCTGTCAGTTTGCTAAGGGGATTTAAAAATATTTTTGCAGAGAATTTCCAAATAATAGAAAATTATGCAAAGGTTAAATTACTCAAACGCTCATTTTGTGAATCAAAATTAGTCGATAAAGAAAAAACCTTGCAATGGGTGGTTTTGCCCAACTGGTGGCAATGTTTACTACTGTTGAGAGCCTGAATTGGTCAAGAATAATTTTGGAGGCCACATTACAGTTCATGTATTTATGAAGACCTCAGGCATTATTGTTGGTAATGTTGAGGTTTTAGTTTGGGATAAATCCTTTATCTTTTATTTGGCATACCCTTTGCCCCAAAGATTAAATAAAACATTTAAAAAAAAAAAATGCTATGGTAAATCATAAGTATGACAGTCAAAATTCTGAAATAAATATGGACCATTTTATAAAAAATAAATAAACATCTGAATTTTTGTCATAATTATAACCATTTTATCACACAAATTTGACTGTTTTCTTCATAATTATGATTTAGTATCATATAATGTTATAATATGATTTACGGAAGCATAAAACCCTTTGATTTTTACTTTTAAAGTTTGGGTATAGTAGTATAGTAGCTACATAATTAGCTGGTGAAAATATATTCTTCATGGTTTTATCTTTGTTTTCAAGATATCTTTGTTGTTGTTACTGTATCTAGTCTTTTGTAGCCTATTACTTGTTCAGTTCTAAATTATAAATAAATAATATGCCATCAGTCTGTAGCATTATACGAGTAGGCCTACACATTTGACTGAAAAAAATGGTTGACATGCATCTCTCATGAACTCTGCGGTGTCTGTGCTAAGTTGGGCATGGCATTTGCTGAAGGGGTCGTTGTTTGCAGAGGAGCTTGGTAATACACGGCTTGTGTACGACGGGGAGAGCAGACTCTGGCGACCCCTGCCAGTCACACGTCTTCTTCATCTCCCACGAGAAATCCCACGGCCAATCTATGCGGCCAATGAACACAAGGCCTCACTCCAGCAGCGTGGTGTCCATAGACTCTCAGCTTCATTAGGAGGCGCCGTCTGGAAACATGAGGGGATTTAGGGAACGTCAGAGACTCAGGCTTACCCTTAGGCTACTGAAGTATCTACACACTAATGTAGGGTGACCAGACGTCCCGTTTTTCCCGGGACAGTCCCGTATTTCAACTCTAATTTTAGTGTCCCGACTTATTATGAAAAAATCATGTTTTGTCCCGTATTTCATCGTTAATATATATTTTTTTATATATTATAGGTTCCCCATCCCCCCGTTCTGTGTCTGTCCCGTATTCAACTCCGAGAAATCGGGTCACCCTACACTAATGACTCAGTGAACCAGGGGTTTTCAAACTTTTTGATGCCAAGGGCACACATATGAAGTGTGTTAATTTTTTCCCGTTCTTGTAAACATGTAATAAATCATAAACATAGGCTAGCCTTTAAAATACATGAACATTGACAGAACTTTGTATTCTCTCAAATTTCTCAAAATGTGTGGCTCAATAATCTGAAAACGTTCTGTCTCTGACTTCTTTCTTTTTCATTTTTCTTCTGAGATTTCTTCTTTTTTCAACAAGCTGTCAGAGTTGGGTACTCCACTTTAAGATTGTATGGTGTGATGCTAGGTCATTAAATTTTCAGCACTCAATAAAAATCTGAAAAAATGACTAAGTGTGTTTGGCCTCTCTCTCTCTAAACCTTGCTGCCATTCTTTGTCTATATTGCTATGTATATTTGGAGTCCAGGGGATTTCAATGCATGGTCTACACTACAGTAAGGGATGCCAATTTTTTTATTTTTTTATATCAAACTATTTTTCGTGTAAAAAAAAAAGTAAAAGAAAACATGTAGCCTATTTGTAATCTTTAAATGGAGCTAATCTGTGATTGAAAGTGAAATGTTTTTGCAATGTAGGCTATAAGCATCATAAAGTAATTATATGGTATCCACGTGTCATTATAGGCAATGCTCAATTTTATGCAATATGCATCAATATGAATCCTTTGCCTAATAAAAGGCATAATATTAATACATTTCCAAAGTCATTCACACATAAAGGCGGGGGAAACTCACTAGCACCTCCCCACGCACGCCTTAGTCAATCCGTCAGTCTCTCCTCTAAGCTTGAGGAAACCCGAAAGGAAACTTTGGGAAGACTGCTGAAAAGTTATTAGCGACTCAATAAAATAATCGCTCTAAAATGAACGACATGACAACTGAATCTGAAGCAACACGGGGATCGAAGTCTTCAGTTTGAGGCGCAACGCGAAATACAAATGGACAGGACGCGTATGTTGATTTGGGGAATAATCACAGGTACGATTCACCATTGTTGCTTTGCCTATTCAACGCCTTTAACTGTGCTCTGTTTGTCTACAAAGCAGCTATAGATTGTAGAAGTACCCGTTTGCCAACTTTTCCTTACAGCTCTTTATTGTATTTATTAATAATGTGCTCGTGACATCAAGAGTTGAGTGTCTAACTTCTTTAACACTATTATGCCAGTTTCTATTTTTAGCACTGGAATTTAGTTTATCACATTAGAAGACCTTCTACTGGTTAATCATAGAGGGAGGGATTTTAAAGTTTAACCACGATTAAGAGGCCTATAAACCCAGTGTAACATTTGCCTGGAATCCTGCAAAGCAATCTAATCCCACAGTTCTGGAGACATGCATGAGCCACCTGTGATTTGTTTGTTGTCTGCCCTCAGCTGTTGTCCTATGCAAATACTCCCAGGCTGAATGGAATACCACAAATGCACAGGCGAATGGGACTGTGTCCTGCAATCCCCATGACAACAGCAGCAACTGCACAGGTAAATGTCAATGGCACCCCAACCTGTTCTTCTCAAATAATGGGCTAGCCAAGCTTGAGATATTTTCCATTTGCTCCTCTTTCAACATTCCACCTCATGCAGAAAGCGTGTTTTGAAGCTGTGCTGGGGTTCGACTAACACTGACTTTGAAGACATGAGATGAAACGCTTTTGTTTAAAAAAAAAAAAAAAAAAAGGTCCCCTGGGCCTGACATAAGACTTGATAGCATGACCACCAGCTTAGGAGATAAATAGGGTATTAGATTAAAATATATTTGTATAGCATTAAAAAGCTGGTGTTATTTGATCACACAATTCTGTCAAAGCATTTGCTTAACATGAAGGATATTATAATCTGTTAACTGAGGACAATTGGACTATGATAATAATTCAGCTTCTTAGTCCCCTTCAAACCTTGTAATTTGATTTAAGAATAGATAATACTCTCAAGCTCAAGTTTAGCATCTCTGTATAGCTGGTAACCCTCAGATCATGTTGCATGTGGCCAGAGAGGTTGTAATTAGATCCTTTCCCATACAACTTTTAGTTCATTCTGAAGTCAGAGCTCAAGTTTCAGTTTCTGTAGAGCGGTTTCTTTTCTAGCTCAGTCCTTTGAACGGAGTTTGGCTTTTACAGTGCCTTGTATAACGACGCACACAAAATATTGTAAATGAGTAAACGGACAACCCTAATAACATTACTCTGTATTTTAAGGATGCACAATATATAGACTGTAACGGTTCCACCAAAGTCGAGTCAGTTTTCTGAGTCCAAATGCAGTTTATTCCATAATTCAAAAAGCGTACAAACAAAGCAATAACTTAACCATTACCTTGACTAAGCATGGCATGGACATGAAACTCACAGCAGTGGACTACAGCATCAAATGATGACAAAGCTAGACTAAAACACATGGCAAAATGAGGGCTATAAATACATAGACTACTGATGCGCAAATGATAAACACCTGAACGCAATGAAAACGTAACAAATGAAAACAAAAGCACATGGGATGAACACAAGAGAAACTGGGAATCATGTGACAACAAAGAGCCCAACCAAGCACCAGCCTTACATTGAGATGATGTTTGTTATTGACTGTTATTTTTACATTTAGATTACCTTTGCCAAAGTTTACCTTTAAAAACACAAATAACTCTGTTAAATGTAATCTTTAACAAAAGTTTTTTCATGAATCCCTAAATTCACTTGACTGATTTTAGTTTTTGGTGTTTATTTTTGATTTCATCAGATAAAATAGTATAACATTAAAATCGGCCATAATAACATGGACATTTATTGGACAGAATTTTTGTTTCTATTACACTGCTTTTAATTGCTTTTTTAAAATTTCTATTTCAAAATAAATGCTGTTCTTTCGAACTTTCTATTAATCAAAGAATCCTGAAAAAAAGTATCACAGTTTCCACAAAACATTAAGCAGCACAACTGTTGTCAACATTGATAGAAATAAGAAATATTTCATGAGCACCAAATCATCATATTAGAATGATTTCTGAAGGATCATGTGACACTGGAGACTAGAGTAATGATGCTGAAAATTCAGCTTTAAATAAAAATAAAAAAAATAGAAAACAGTTTTAAATTGTAACCATATTTAACAGTATTTCTGTATATTGACCAAATAAATGCAGTCTTGTTGAGCATAACAGACAGCTTTCAAAAACATTAAGAAATGATTGATCTTGTAGTTTTGAACATTAGTTTACATGTTTGATGGTGATATGTATCCCTGCTTTAAATCTATACAGATTTAAAAGATGACCACAAATGGAGTGGTCACTTCTCTAAGTGTCCAAAGGACTATAAGCATTACTGTATCCATGGTGTTTGCCGTTTTGTGGAGGAACAGAACACTCCTTCATGCAGGTGAGACTTTGACCTGTCCATCACTCAACCAATCAGAGCTCAAGTAAAAGTTGAATCATTTTTTTTTAATACTTTTGCACAGATGTGAAATTGGATATATTGGCTCTAGGTGCGAATATCTTGATCTTAATTACCATGTGGGAGAACGAAGAAAAATAGTCATCGCATGTGTGGTCGCAGGATTGGTCTTTCTGATTTTGCTCATCGTCTTCATATACGTCTGTACACAGTGAGTGATGTGTTGCACTATTAAGAGCATTGTACCTTCAAGTGTCGGTCTTCAGTGTTTATTTAATCTTTAATGTTGTTCTTTTTACCGTCTTCCTACTTTTTCACAGTAAACGATATAAACCATGTAGAAAGAAGAAGAGAAAAAAGGAAACAAGTGATGAAGATGAGAAGCTCAGTTCACTAAACACACATGAAGCTTTAGCTGCTCCGGTCGACACATGCGACACTAATGCTGTATGAAGTGAGTATTTATTCTTCAATTTGCCTCATTCATTTTGCATTAACCGCGTATTGAATTAGGGCCACTGTCTGTTCAGATCATGGAAAACAGTGGTTCTTATAGTTTAAGTGAAATCCCAATGCAATACCGAAATTGTTTATCATACAAAACAAAATATTTTAATGAATTGGTTTATTATTGGTTTCTGAATGTCTCTTCATGCTGTTTGCAACTAATATTTCACTGCATAAAACACATTGTGTTCAGTACAAACTAGGATAGGGTGATATATCGTTGTCCTTCTCGATGCCATACGAGAATCATTACACTGGCGCCAAATATCGATATTCTAATTAATAAAACAAGGTGCTATAAATAGATTTCCCTGCTCCTAGCATCACTACTTCATGGCTCCTCGAAAAGAGGTTTTTAACGGGATGGCAGACAGCAGTGCGAGCAAAATAATAGATGCCTCAGCCACGTTCAAGTTCAAAGTCTGGACGCACTTCGGCTTTTATACCATCGATGGGACAAACAAAATCGACAGAGTACGCAATAAACAAGAACTGCCTGGTAAAAGTAAAGTGCACTGGTAATACCACGAACATGTAAAGCCACTTGCAACTCCATCACCCTGATCTCTTTGAAAATGTTTAATTTACATAAAAAGTTTTTTAGAACATTTTGTGTTGTTTTCTAACAGTTTGGAGTTGAATAAAGAGAGAAAACCTGCACTTAACCTTTTCACAAGCATTTTGTTTTCATAGTTAGACAGATATGGTGATGTGTCATTATAGGATTGTCTAGCAATATATTGATTATCGCAGAATTGCTGTATCGTGATATCGGTATCGTGAGCCATGTATCGTATCCGTGAGGTACCCTCTGATTCCCACCCCTAGTACAAACCACATTTATCTTTGTTTTAAATGAACCTAACCTGGCCCTAGCCAGATGAATTTCGCTCCGCCTAGCTTCACTCACATCCATCTGGAACCTCTTCCATTGAGAGTGATTTCTCCAACCAACTTTATGGTTTAGCCAATCAGGACGCAGGGCGGGAGTTTCATAGATGTGACGTAGTGGAGAAGCGACCGTGAGACTGTTTTGATTCAGACAACAATGGCGGTTCGCATCAAGGAAACAAGCGTTAAAGGAGCTGTATGTAAGATTGTGGCCAAAACTAGCACTGCAATCACTGTCAAATTACTGTAGAGTGGTGTATCCCCTCCCCCTCCTCCCTCACTCGAGGTTGCCAGATCGGCTGCAGGATCCAGCAGGAACGTGACGAGCTGCAGCTGTGGTAACTAGAGCAGAGCTGGCAACCCGGATGCCGCAACACTACTGACTTCGTGATTGGTAGATAGGTGGAGGGTGGAGCATCAGACCAAAACACAACATGACAACATCAACATCAGTTGAGGGCTGCAACTGCACTTTTTAAATGACAATATCCTGGCCACACTACTGTTGTCAGTGATATAAGTATTTGAAATGTACATGATTTCTTAATGTCTAGTGACATTTCAGGGCCATTTTATGATTAATTGAAATAAATTTCTTACATACAGCTCCTTTAACATTGATGCTGCTATTTCATCCGTGTTGTCCAATCTACCTAATATTGTTTCATTAAAAGAACATCAGAGAACGGCTCTTAAGGCTTTTTTTTTTCACGGGTTGGCTTCGGTGTGAGTGGTTGAAATAGCACGTCGATAAAGATGACAGACAAGTGGCTTATCCAATCATATGCAAGGATTTTTGATAAGGCCCAGCCTTCTGAAACGCCATTTCAATGGATCGGTTCCAGATGGATGAGTGAAGCTAGGCGGAGCGAAATTCATCTGGCTAGGGCCAGGTTAAAATGAACCTGCATTTAATGAAATCGGTGTCATATCTTCTTTTATCTGACATAGTTTAGTTACATTTTTTTATAGGGTATGTTTATACGACAACGGTGTACTAAAAACAGAAAAAGTTTTTCCTTTGCTGTTTTCGCGTACAGACGAAAACGTTGTCAAAACGATCGCCGTTCACAAGGATCTGCAAAAATGGCTAAAAACGCTGTATTCTGCATGCCAGGCCAGTAGTTGGCAATGTCACTTTGTAAAGAAACACTACGTGCCTATAGACTAAACACATAATACACATGCGCATGACATCACCCGTTTCTCAAAATCGCATCATGATTTCAAAAGCTTGCATTTTCAAAACGTCGTTCTCGTATAAATGAAATGCCAAAACGCATAAAAAGTTTTCCATTTTCAGTTAAAAATGGTGTGGTGTAAATGGCCCCGTCTATATTGGCATCTGATGAATTTGTCTAGCCTTTATTAAAGGGATAGTGCACCCAAAACATTTTTAATTCTATAACCATTTACTCTCCCTTATGTCAATTCAAAACTTATGAGCATCCAAAACGAATCCAAATCCAAAACGAAAGATTATGAGCATTAAAGATCAGAATAACACAAAATTGGATTTGGATCCACAAGTGTTGACGCCAGTTTTCTCCTTTTAATTAGAGAATATGTCTTTTTATTTATATATATATATATTTTTTTTTCATGCTTGATCCACCATCATAACCACTTGTTCTCTGATTCTTATTAAACAAAATGTCCATCTTATTATAAAATTAAATATTTGCTCCAATAAGAAATTGATCTGTATTCTGCACTAAGCTCTATAAAACTGCATGACAGTTTGTTCATACCATTCAAGGACCTTGACTTGTCATCCTCTCTTAGTTCATGCCAAAAGCATTTTAGATGTGCACAGCAAGCTCTGTAAAGGAAAGTATGGACACAATAAGCGAAATGCTTGTTTGACGTGTGGAAATATTGTGACGCTGTTCTGACCTTGGTTGCTAGAAAGTCAGGTAAACTTTTAGTTCAAATAGATGGGTCTAATGATCTTTTTTGTTTCAGTAAAAACAGGGAAGTGATCCTGCCAGGGTTGGGAATGGCCTGGAAATGTGGACTTGTCCTGCCAAGTTATGAATGCAGTGCTTTACAGTATAATCCTGAGTGGACTTTAAATGAATTTGGGAGATATGGTGTGTCAGGCAACCTTTGCCAATCTGTATGCTACTGTTTACCTCATTCTTCATGCCACAAAAGATTTTTATACTTTTCAGAAAAAAAGTGTCGATGAACTGAACAAATATGCCTTCAGACTGGCTGTAGTGACAAAGTGGTGCCGTTCAATATGCTGAATGCAAACAAAGCCTATCCATGTTGGTTTAGATATAGGCCTATTTCTATTGCATACGAAGCACAGAATATTGAAAAAAAAAATCCATATAATGTTAAATTAAAAATGAAATTATAACAGTTTAAGCAGTTTCTGAAAGTAGTTCTCCTGACAGTAACGGACCAAAATATTCTATTAACTTTGATTTATTTATTAACATGTAAATACAAAATGTTTTGCTTTGTTTGATTTTAAAAGAATATATTAAGTAAATTGTGGAGGAAAATTACCATCTATATATGTGAAAAAGTATTTTTGTTTTCTTTATTGAGCTTTTTGACAGAAAAGTATAATAAATAAATAAAAAGATTTGCAATTTGTTCAAAAATATTTACTGATAAACTTTTTTTAATGAAAAAGAATAATTGTATATATTTGTGTTCGGTTAGATACAGTTTGGAAATATGTTATTCGCTGGTGATGTAAAGCTAGGAGTATGTTTCAAATGCTGTTCAGATTTCGAAGCACTAAACATTTTTAAGATTTTCTTTAAATGCAAAGCTATATTTACTTTATACCCTAAAATGTCTTTATAAATTCATGCGAGTATTGTTACACAAGAAAGTCTGATTTTCAGTGGGTGCTCCAGTGGTTTTAAGTGATGGATTTGTTTTTGTAAAATGTAAATGGTTGCATTATGTTCTGTAAACAATGTGAATGTGGCACATAAACTGATCATTTCTTCACGCCAAGGTGGAAAATGTCCATGGAATGTGCAAAGGTGCTTGGTTAGAATAAACTGTCGTCCAACCCTGCTTCCAAAAAAATGTTCCATCTGCTTAATTGTTTGTTTTTCGCCCTAGTTTCAACTGCCCTCAAACATCCAGTCTGTGGGATTATTTTGCCGTTATCATTATAGATAAAGCTTTGAAGAGGTCTTAAGAACTTTTATTACTCATAAGTTTTCGAAGCTTCAGTCTGTGCTGATGCCAATAGAAACTGGCTGGTGTGACCAGCACGGGCAGACCTCGTGTTTCAACACAGCCATAAATAGCTCTTCTTGGCTTGATGTCAGTGATTGGAGAACGACAGGAATCCAGCACCTCAGTTGGTGGAACCTTGTGAGGCAGAAGTTTTTCCATGATATTTATCAGAGCGGTGTCAAATGTAACAGAACATCACTTAACCAGACAACAGTATGCATTGATTTCAAGCCTGAGTTTTTGATATTTTCAAAAGTATTTTTTTGTTGCAAGATGTAAAAGCTGTGATAGATCATATGATTTAAGACCCATTTAAACTTTTGTTCCACCTGTAGCAATGACCTGTGTCGAATATCTCAATTGGCTGAATTTCCCCTGAACTAAAGCAGCAGGAAACGCAAATGTAAGGTGTGTCTCAAAGTGAATGAAATAGGTAACCGATACAACACTCTTTCTGAAGGAGATAAGAGATCACTCACCTTTTTTCTCTCAGAAAAAAAAAAATCTTCTTAAAGCTATATGATATCTTCATCAGTGAGACAGTAAGTTGAACTCGAGAATCAGTCCGATTTGTGAGAATCACTCAGACTGCTTTTGTGAACTGAATCAACTGATTCATTGACGAAACAAACTCAAAAAACAATTAGTTAGAATTCTTATGAACAGTTTTTAGAAGAACTATGATTTGTGAATAATTACTTTAAGTTTTTTCACCCCGCGCCAAAAATAGTCTGGGGAGGAAGGACGGGCCACCTGGAGTGTTGGAAGGTAACAGGCAGGTGTTCAGGTTGGAGCCGGCAGGCTAGGAAGGCTCCAGGGTGATACCGGCGATACAGGAGCCAGAGAGGTGCCGGTAGCTCAAGGAACCAAGGGGGCGCCCCCTCCAAAATTTTCTTGGGAGGAGCTATGGGGTTGTGAACCAGAGCGGACTCTGGAGCAGGCTCTGGGAATGCTTTCTCTAGAGCGGGTTCTAGACTTTCAGTCCCTGGAACGGACTCGGGGATTTCCTTCATTGAAACCATCTCTGAGATTTCACTCACTGGAACGGACTCGGGAATTTCTCTCACTGGAACAGACTTGGGAGCAGACTCTGGATGTTAGGACCTGAGAGGGGAAGATGTCTTCAGAACCAGCCGGATGGAAATAACTGCAGGATCAGCCACCTTTGCTAGGTCGGTGCTGTTCAAACCCATCTTCCAGGCTTGAGGGGAGACTGGAGGGATGGGTGAGATGGTCCTGAAGTTGAGATGTGGAGGGTTCGGTAGCAGGCTCGGGGTGAGCTGGAGCGCCCATATGCTCTCAGGATGGGACTGGATCAGCGTGTGTAGTGTCATCTTTAACTTAATCACGAAATCAGAACCATTTAGCCTGAGGATGTAGTTAATATAATTAACTAGGGGTAGATAACATTTAGCTGGAGCAAGAAACTGAAATAAATCATCATCCAGTCCTATCCGAAAGCAGGCATTGACTGTAGAATTGCTCCAGCTCACCAGATGGGAATACTCCAAAAAGTCCTCCACATACCGCTCTAGTGGCTGACCGTTCTGGCAGATGGTGTACAGGAGATGGTCCTCAGCCCTCTTTCTAGCCTCAGTAAGATCCATGCTTGAGTCTTTAGCCCTATTCAGACAGGACTTTTCCAGGGGGTTGTTAGAGAAATTCATGTTTCACAGACGTACTTTGCGATTTTAATCCCATCTGAATCTGCCAACTCTGTGTTTTTCCTCACACAACCTCTGTAAAAATTCCAGAGCAAATTACCTACTGTTTTTTGGCAAACTCAACAGTCCTCTGAGAAATCTAATCCCGTCCGAATGCGAATGTCTGTGGTTGCTGATGTTGTATTATTCTAACGCTTCTCCTCGTGCGTTTTTTACCTACCTTCAGCATGCTTTCATTTAGTTTCAATATGGATGCTGTCAGATGAAAAAAAACCAACAACATAAAATTAATAAATAGTCAAATCGTGGAAACTGCAAAGACTACCCATTTTAATATCAGTGTCAGGTCTAGATTTCTCTGCTTACTTGTGTGGGTTTATTATAAACAGCCACTTCTACGAACTCGTGAAATGTACTTAAATAGGGTTTTTATAATAAATTTTAATTTAGGCCTATACGGAGCAGTTGAATGCTTGAACTGGATTGGTTGACACACGTGCAATTATTTTCAGGGAAATGTTATGAACAAATAATACAATACATATATGTCATATTCACACAAGCACAGCAGATGACCTTCTGTATAACACCCATATATAGAAAACACACTCACCTCTGTAATAAACACTGAGATGTTAGTCCTGCCTGAATCAGTACATGAAATGTTACAGACGTTGAGTGATAATTGTAACTCAATTGTCCTTTAAAAAACTAGTCCCGTCTGAATAAGGTATTTGTTGGGTCCTGGATTCTGTCACGGTGGGTGGCTGTAATGAAAGTGCATGACAATGTAGTAAACTAAATAGTCTTTTAATTGTAAATGGAAACACAGGAGATAAACTTGAAGATAGAGTAGAACAACCACTTCAACATAGACATAAAACAATCCAGGACAAGGAACAGACTGAAACTGAGGGCTTAAGTACAGAGGAGCTAATGAGTTAATTAACAAGGAACAGGTGAATGAGATGAATCAATTAAACACTTGGGAAAACCAGCAAACAGAAAGTGAACACTAAAAAAACAAAACAAAACCCTGACAAGTAATACCCCCTTGTGATTTTTTTTTGAAGCTTTTGCTTGTGTGGAAAAGGGTGGTTGCTAACAAGTGGCTAAATGGGACTACAGAGATTGTCAGGAACATAAATGTCATTACACCGAACAGGTCACCTCATACTCACTAATCCAATTTTACCGCCTTGTGTTCATGATCATGCTTTTGCAAATTATTCCTCAAACATTTGGGTAAAATGTTTAAGTCATGCGATCGTGGTCTACAGTAGTTCGTTTAGCTTTTTACTTCTGCCGATTTTATGGCTTCAAAATTCATAAAAGTTGTTCATTTGTGATTATTGATTAATAAAATGTGTAAGAATCATAATCTTTTGTTAGTCACAGAGCTTATTTTCTGCAATAATCCAAAAGCCAATGGAAAATTATATTGGGTTTTTTGTCAAAGGAGCCAGGGTTAACTTCCAGGTTGACCTATACACTGCACTGCAGCACTCTATTATAGTACAGACTGCTGGAAATTCACCTTTTGTGTTCCACAGAATAAATAAAGTCATAAAGGTTTGGAATGGCATTAAGGTAAAAAGAAAATGAAAAAATTATCTAATTAAAATCTTTGGGTGAACCATTGCTTTAAATGTTAAAACTTGGCTGTGTCCTAAATCGCATACTCTCTTGATTAGGTACTTATTTTGAATAACTAATTACTTCATCATGACCACTAAAATATTCTGAGTATGAATGTGTGTAGTATGAATGTAATCTGGACGTAGGCCTACTACATTTGCTATGCTGTCATTATCAGATGACCTACCAGAATCAGTTCAAATCCTCTCCCGTGCATGGTCTCATGGGATAGTAAAGTGTCCATCGCATGCACACTTCAGAATCTCTCTGGACGTAGTAGGTCATCCGGGTACTTTTGCCTACTCTTTTACGGGTATAATTCGGACATACTTCTTTCGTCACATACTGGTTTTTGCCTACAATATAGGGAAGTATGCGATTTTGTAGGCAGCCCTTATCATTTAAAAAAAAAAAGATACACTGCCATCTACAGGACGACATGAGAAGTTATTGTGCATTGCTAGCCAATGGACAGCATAATCGTGGGACAGCTGGAAGTCCATCTGCTTTTTGTGAGAGAGGTGCGGAGAGCTTGACCAGAACTCAAGCTTGCTCTTGTAGCAGGTGAGTAATTGACCATGCTTTGACCCAGTGAATAGAGATTTGGTCCATTTGGCAGACTCTAAATTGTGTAGTTTAAACCTGGTTCTTTATATTATTCTCAAGGTCTTTTGAACTGATCTTGACATGGTCTTAAAAGTGAATGATGTTTCATTCCTTCTAGTGTGTAAAAGTATACATGGGATTGTCAGCATGACTTACACATTTTATATAAGGGCAAAGATAGATCTTCAAGAGGTGACTGCAGCAATTCCCTTCTACAATAACAAGTGATCAAAACGGTAATGGAGGGTTAAATAAATAAAAAAGTCAGTGGATGTTAAGGTTATTTGGGCAATGATGTGAAACACTTGTAACTGGAGTGTGTTTAAGGATGACGTAATATTGAAAAAAAATGATAAACGGGAAAAAGCAGACTGCTTGATGCTGTCTTATAAATAAAGCATTTAAAATACATATAATTTTTATCTCTTCTTGGTTTTAATATTGTGAGCAGATATAGAGGCACAGTTATAAATAGTTTTGAGTTCTACAGCCCTACTGCTGTTTTAAATTGTCATGGTAACAGCAACATTTTATGTTGCGCAGAATGGACATGCTGTTTGTCTCAGAGACAGACTAAATATACTGTTCTTTCACATTCACAATTAGTAATAATTTGAAAATACACTATTTATCATATATTTTTTTAGTCAGAAAACTGAGAAAATGGGGAGATCTAAAGCAATTTCTCAACCAGTGGTCTGGGCCATCGAACGAGGGCCAAAAGATTAATATTTACCCGTGCTTTGATAACTGCTCAAATAACAGGTATATGTGGCTT